TTTTTTTGGTACTGGGGATCGAACTCGGGTCCTTGCACTTGTGCAGCAGGCAGCGAAACCACTGAGCTAAATCCCCGGCCCGCCTTTCTTATTTCTAATAGAAGATAGTAAGTTGGGTTCTCCTAAAAAAATCGTTTTTATGTGAGTGTGGTGGTGCATGCCTGTAATCTCAGCACTGAGTAAGGAGCTAGAAGAGGACAGATAAGATGGGCAGCTAAGATGGGTTTGAAGCCAGCTTGAGTTACATAGTGAGACTCTGTCTCAGAAAACCACAGATTTTATCTTTTCATAATATTTTAAACAAATATGAGAGAGCCTGTAGGTCCCTTCAAGCCCCTATGAAGGAATTTTTTTTTGTTCCTCAGTACTGGGGATCGAACTCAGGACCTTGCTTTTGCCCGGCTGGCGCTCTGCTGCTGACCTACATCCCTGGCCCAGGAATTTATTTTGACACAAAGTTACTACTTAGAATTTGAGGGGCCAGGGATTTAGCTCAGTGGTGCTGCTGCTTGCGTTGGAAGTGCAAGGTCCCGAGTTCGATCCCTGGTACAAAAAAAAAAAATTGCCAGAATTTGATAATAATACTTGTATAGTTTCTTGTTGAAATACAGTGGACCCTTGACTTAGGAACTCAAACTTGATCAGTTCCCAGGGGCTGGTTGTAACTCAAGTTGGTTGTAAGTTAATGCAGCTGAGATCTGGATGTTTACCTGGGTACACACAATAGATAATAAAAGACATGAATTAACTTGGGTTAACTTATACTTAAAATACTGTTTATTTGTAATTTAACAATTAGCATAACATCTAAGAGCAATATCATAACATTTATACATTTTCCACAGGACACAGAAGTTCATTGGCTCATTCATTATGTTAAAGCAAGTAAATAGAGGCATTAGCAAAAGGTGCAATAGTTTGCAGTTGCTTTAAAAAATATGCACATTGCATTCATTTAGATATTTATTTATTTATGGTACCGGGGATCGAACTCGGGACCTTGCGCTTGCGAGGCAGGCGGCGGCACCACTAAGCTAAATCCCTGGCAAGATACATATATTTTTTAAAAGTTATGGAAAGGCATAGTTCACAGGTTACTGTTTCTACATACATCATAATACAACCTAAATGATGTAGAACATAAACTAATCCTCAAATACACAGTTAAGCAATTGAAAGTTTCCGCTAAGATGAAAACACTGATTCCAGTAGTGAGGTCGAGTGACGTCCCAGGCTCCGTGTCAGCTCTGCAGCACACAGACAGAATCTGCCCAGAATACACCACGAGCCACGGAACTTATTGCATGCTAACTCATCCCTCAGAACACTTTGGATTATTTTTACCCACTGACCATTTGGGATCTGATCTTTGATTTTACCCTGATCTTTGATTTTACATTGATTTGTGACATCACTTGCGAAAAAGGGGAAAACTATATTAGGTCTAGGTTTAAATTTGTATTTACATTAGAAAGTTAACTAAAAAGATTTTAAAAATTGTAAAAAAATCAAGAAGCGGTAGTTTTCTTAGGGATTAGCCCTACTGATTTCTTCTAATGCTGCCCTCTAAAGATAAACAACTTCGAAAGATTGACTCTTTTAAAACTGAAATATCAACCAAGATACTGATTTGGGGAGCAGAGCAGGATTTCAGAAACTTGGGACATGTTTTCAATAAGTCATGCTATATATCCTGTCACGAATAAGAGTTATTACCAGACGAGTTCTTTTCACATCCCATCTTTTGTTTCCTTTGTTTTTCACTTTTTCATTCTTTTCCTTCTCATTTGGTTACCTTACGAGATTTTCTTCATTCACTAGCAGTACTAAGAGAAAAATACATTATAAGCTTCAAATATGAATCTAGATATACATTTAATATGGCCCTAACCCCACTTTGATACCAAGAGCCTGGATTCTTGACTTGTATATTTAAGTATACTTCAGTACCAAGCAGTCTCAAATGTGCCCTACTGTTAAATTATTGGCTAATATGCATATGATGCTTTTATACTGAATGGTATACAAACATCTCAAAATATAAAAATTGTTTTTGCCAGAGTTAAACTAAATAACCCGTTATATGTACAAAATCCCCTTTGTTGAAAAATAAGAGGCTTTCTAAACTAATAAAAAAAGTTTTCAAAAATTACAGTTTATTAAAATGACCTTTTTTGGCAAATGAAGTTACTTCAGGTAACTTGGGTTAACTTAATTAAGTTGTTCATATGTCAGGCCAATTGTAACTTGAGGGTCCATTGTAGTAAATCCTGTAAAATTGTTAGCCTTACCTGAAGTGTAACCATAGGTGGATATACTAAACCTGTACAGTATAGGTGGTACTGATATGCAATATCACATAGCTATAATCTCAGTGCTGAAAAGGCTGAGGCAAGAGGATCTCCACAAGTTTGAGATCTGCTGCCTGGGCCACAGAGTGAGACTCTGTCTCAACAAACAGAACAAAACCAAAAAAAGGAGAGATTTTCTTAAGGGATAGAGATTTTAAATAGTTGGGCTGGTTTTTAAGGAGCAAAAATAATTACTTGAGAAGTGCAAATTTTTTTTCAAGTTACTGTATAAATGAGATTTCAGATGCTTGCCTTTATGCTTAATTAATCTGCCTGCATTTGTGTATTTCACATTGTGTTTACTTTTATTTATAGGAAGAGAGAAGGGCACAGTTACCTAAATACCAGCGTAATCTTCCTCGACCAGGACAGGCCCCAATCGGTAACCCACCAGTTGGACCCATTGGAGGTATGATGCCACCACAGCCAGGCATCCCACAGCAGCAAGGAATGAGACCTCCAATGCCACCTCATGGTATTCCTCTTTTTTGGTTTATTGTATTTAGTGGATTTTCTGAGTATACATACATATAAAATGTTAGATTTATCTGAAAAGCACATTGCAATTATAGTACAATTCATATACCAACTCATTCTATTTTTTTGTGTTTGAAATATTTTTTAGGTCAGTATGGTGGTCATCATCAAGGCATGCCAGGTTACCTTCCTGGTGCTATGCCACCATATGGGCAGGGACCGCCGATGGTGCCCCCTTACCAAGGTGGGCCTCCTCGACCTCCAATGGGAATGAGACCTCCTGTAATGTCGCAAGGTGGCCGTTACTGATCTTGCTTCATCCAGTCTAATAGGTTTGGAGATTAAACCTTTTCTCAACTTGTGCTGTTTATATAGCCAAGCTTCCGTCAATAAGGCTTCATTGTGACTTTAACAAACATTATCTTCCCACATACCAGGAACTATTGGACATTTATTTTACATGGGAAAATTTATTTGGAATAATAAAGCAGGAACTTTTCCTGAGGTTGCAATTTATACTGTATGGCTTCTTTTTCATGTTTCATCTAGGTTTTTAGAAGTGAAGTATAGTAAATTTGGTTCGTTAAATTGTGAAGGCGCTGGAATTACATGAACATACCACCTTAATAAAGGCAAGTTCTGTAAGCTTACATTGCTATTTGTAAAGTTATGCCTTCACAGCATTTCAGATGCTGTTGGACTTCATGTCCCCAACCTAGCTTGGTGAGGGCTGTAACTATTTCCAAGTAACCTGTACATTGGAAGTCTGAATGTGTAACAATATTTAATGTATTTAGAGTTCCTCATGTTGCAGGGTTTAAGAAATCTGACCCAACAAGGTCATGTGACTTTTTCTGTACTGTTAAACTTCATTGTAATAAAATAAAAGAAAAATTTATGCCTTTTTATTCATAACCCATCTGTGGACCGCTGCCTGAAAGGTTTATACACATGCATGCCACAGTAGATGTCCACAAAATAAAACTCAGTTACCAATGCAGTTTTGAGAAATCATTGGGTTTTGTCTTCGAACTGTAGATTGTTTCGTAGCTGCATATTTTAAACAACTATATACATAGAATTGTATGTTAATACTTTAAGTTAAAAAACTTAGATACATGTGAATCATTCATTACTTGATGGGTATGAAATCTTTATGTATCACATTTTCACACCCTTTGATGTCCTCAGATGTCATAGTATTTTAAAATGTAAACCTTAATATTTTTTCCTTCCTGCTGAGATATTTAGAACCTAGTGCCAGACTCATTCATTTCCTTCTGATTATTTTTGAAACCTAAGTACTGCATGGACCTCAGAAGCTTTTCAGGTACAAAATTCTAGAGGCTTAGGTGCATGCAGTAATAGTTTCTTGTGCTGGTAGTAGTTGGTTGCTGAGTAGTAGTCTGCGTATGCTGAGAATGTAAATGTGACTCTGTTAGGGTAGTTTGTTGGCTAACAGATAGATTGGCAACTTTTACTACATTCCTGGAAGGTTACATTGCTCATTCCAGTAGGTACCTTTTGTTATTAAGCCTAGATGGCTTTACTGTTAAATTGTTCATCCTTGGAAATTTTGAGTATTACTATGTTCCTATAGAGAACTTTTCTGTAAAAATGACTGCTTTTGCAAGTCACTTACAATAATAGCTGTTGTTGACCTATTTGGGGGCATTTCTTTTTCTAATCTTTTAATTTTCCTAGAGTAGTTTCATGATTATTATCAAATATTCTATGCAAATATCAGTATGAGCTCAAGTTTTTTCAGTATAAAGTTATGACTAAGAAAATGGTAATATAATAACTTACCTGAAGGTATTGATACAAAGTGCAATCTGAATTCTTTTACTATTTTTTGAAGTTTTAAGGGAAAAAGCTTTAACTTTAGGGAATTATTATTATGTTTTGGTACTGGGGATCAAACTCAGGACCTTGGGCTTGTGAGGCAGGCACTGGCACCACTGAGCTAAATCCCCAGCAACTTTAGGGAATTATATTGACAAAATATTACATTGCAAGAGTTTGTATTTTATTTTGCTCCAATGATTTTATAGCTCTTGTGATATGGTACTATTGAAATGTAAAATATTCCACTGTTTGAAAAAGAAAACATATATCACGAAGAATATTTCCTTCTCCCAGCAACAATGCCTCAAATGCTTCTTTCATTGAATGTGCCTGCCTAACTAATTTTGGAATATGTGCACACTTAAGACTTGGCATCATACTTCGCATACTGAAAGAAAAACAAAACCCTGTTTTGAAAGTCTTTAAGGTTAAGCACTTCAGAGGCTGAGACAGGAGGATCACTATGAGTTTGAGGCCAGCCTGAACTACATAGTGAGACCCTGTCTTAAAAACACAAAAAACGAGAAAATACTTAACATTTAAGGTTAAGATGGCATAATTAAGTAGAAAATGTTCTCCTTTACCAGCTGTCTCAAAAATTTCATGTCCAATCTTATCAGCAAAATTCAGAAGCGTTGGTAGACCTTTTTCAAAAATCATACAAAGCTTTATTTGCATTTTATACAAAGGCCAGTATTTCATGGATGTTTATTGCTCTCTGAGGTCTGAAGGGAGAAAATAGCTTTAGTAAGGATGGGATTCTTATTAAAATGAAAGTGTTATACATGGTACATGATCTTGTGTTTTTTAGCTATATAGCTCAGAAGCCCATTTAGTATATTTAAACTGTAAATTTTGCATGCACCCACGGACTAAACTGTAAATTTTGCATGCACCCACGGCTAATTAAGCTTCTAGAAAATATCTTTTTACCTAAGTGCTTCTGGGGTCTATAAGGTGATTGAATCAGGAGTGGATAAAATTATGTTTGAGTTACTCTTCTACTTTGCTTTATGCTTCCTAGGTGATATGCGGAGTTCAATCAAAGTGCATTCTAGTTGTCCTCACACAAAACTACTTTTGGGATTTGATATGTTCAGGCAGGTACTTGTGGTTGCCATAATTAAGGAATTTATAATATTAATAGGGCTGGCAGCTTTGGATGTACCTTCTGTCCACTCCTGTTACCATATTTAAAAAGCAGAAACAAATATTTTGTCTGGCACTAGTTTCTATAAAAGGTTTTACTACTAGTGATAATAACAGGACCAGCAGATGAGGATCAGCTTTCCAGTGGCTGCTAGAATTATATGATTTGAATACATTGTATTTTAGTAATTTCTCACACATTTGCTGTTAGATGTGGGGAAAATACCTATTCCACTGATCAAGTTACAGAATGAACGTATTTTAAATTTATTTAGGGGGAAATGCCCCTCCCCCCCCAAAAAAGCAAAGAGTGGAATTGTAGTAGACAAAAGGAGCTGCTCTTTTTCCTTTGTTTGCTTGATCATTGGGATTTAAAAATTTTTTTAATGCATGTCTTTTAAATTAATTGGGTAATGTTTTTCTAAAATTAAAATTTTCTTCTTCCTATAGCCCTGCCATAGGACAGGCTGAGGCTGAGTCTCAGTGTTGCCCTGTTCAGTCTGAGGCAAGTGGGATTTATTTTATTCCTTATAGGGGCTTTCACAGCTTTATGGCTGTTGGATATTTATGTCCCCAAACTTGCAGCAAGTTTGGTGAAGGCCCCTAAATTTAATTAAATTTAGGATTTTTATATTCTTTTGGCAGAGAAGGCTCTATATTAATATTCATGTTTGACTGTGGTGTTAAACATTTAAAGTAATTTAATTTATGTTATATATTCAATAGCTTCAGTAAAGCTTATTTTACTATATTGAACCTTAGTAAATATTTGCTATTCTTGATTTGGAGGCATTAAATGTACAAATTTTTTACTTCTAGGAAAATCTTACTGGTTATTTTCTTCTGAAACTTAAATTTAACTTTTAAGGATAAATAATTACTGGAAATGACATAGGGTACTGAAATCTGTATTCTTACTCTTGAACTTACGCATTGAACATCAGGGTTGAAAAGGTCATCTGGAAATGCGTGTGATTTTTAATATTTTCAAACATCCTCACCACATTAGAGCAAATGTTAATGTAGAGCCCTATGAAGAGTGGGAAGGTGCTATCTTTGTGTGATTTTGTGGTTTGGATGGGTATAGGCTACACGCCTGTTACAATAAAAAGGTGGTATGAGTTTTGCATACCTGTCAACATGCATAAATTACTAAATTTCAGGTAGCTAGACTGAAATTGGATCATGTGACGGAGTTACTTTTATAATGTGCTAAACTGGTTTTGAAATGAATTTCTTTGAGGTTCATTTCCAACTTTACTGACCAGTGTTTCAATGCAAAATGCATACATGAATAGAATCCACATTTGTTTCTAAGATTTATTTGGTCAGAATAGTTGTATGTGTTTCTGTTGTAAGGAATAAAGAGGGAATTGGAAGAGAGGCCAAAATGTAAATCTGGATTTTTTTTCCCATGTGTTTAAGCCACCACTCTAGCTGTCATTTTACTCTGGACACTTAATCGCATACAGTATCTAGCAAACCTGGTATTATAGGATATTCATTGGGCTATAAAAAATTCACTAAAGGATTCCAAATTTTGACCTATTTTAGGACATAGGCTTTTGATAAAAACACGTTTTCTTGCTTCCATGCAAAATATCCCACTGGAATATTGAATAACTTAGTAATTTCATATTTTTTTAAGACTCTTAATTGGAGATCTGCTATATTATACCCACCATTCTCCAATAAACTGAAATCTCTCCAAGCTCCCTTGACCTAATTTTAGCCAAGCATGGTGGCACATGCCTTAATCTCAGCACTCAGAAGGCTGAGGCAAGAGAATTGCTGTGAGTTCAAGGCCGGCTTGAGCTACATGGGGAAACCCTGTCTTCAAAAACATTAAAAAAAAAAAAAAAATTGAAATAGGTCCTTGGGAGGGGTGGGATTTACTAATGGCACAGTTTGTTGAAGGTGGTAATAACTAATTGAAAATGTATCCTTTGGGGCTCCAGTTGTAGCTTAGTAGGGCACTTGCCTGACATATGCAAAGTCTTGGGGTTTGATCCCTAGCAACCCACCCACCCCAGAAGAAAACTATGTATCCTTTGATATCTCTGTAATTCTGTAACCAAATAGTTTTTTGACAGTTACAAGATTTTCAGGTGTCTATAATGTCTACTGGTAAAATTTGGTGAAAATATTGAAGTCAGGTAAAATTTTCTTTAAGTAAACTCATAAAAGCAGACACAACACTCTGGTGTATTGGTTAGAGGATAAATACATTAAATGTGTACCCTACATTTTTATAAATCTGTTATGTCCTTTTTTAAAGGTATTTGCCTACGTAGAACTAAGTAATTTTTGAACATTCTCCCAAAATTAAGTTCATTTTTTTCCTGTTACTGAACTTTCATGGAAAAGTCTTCTAAAAGGAGATTCATTTAGGAGACTGGACTATAGGGCAGATTTTTGTAAGTAAACATAACTCTGATTCTCTATCTCATGACAGTGAGAGTTAACTCTTCTCTTTTTTAACCCTTTCTCAGTATTTTGTTTTCTGTCAACAGATCATTTTAACAATCTTTTGATTTTATAGTAAAGAAATCATCTTACTTCTGTGCTATTTCCTAGTAAAATAAGAAGCACTGCCAGGTGTGGTGGCGCATGCCTGTAATCCCAGCGCTTGGGAGGCTGAGGCAGGAGGACCACAAGTTTGAGGCCATCTTGGGCTACGTAATGAGATCCTGTCTCCAAAAAAACAACATTACTCTAACAATGTTGTATATAGCGATTCATAAGTGGATATTTATAATTTTGTAATTAATGCTAAATTTTTATAAATAGAATGTCTTAAGCTCTTAGGAATCCTTATATCAATCTAAGTCAAATGAATGCATAGGAATTGAGGAAAGCAGGGCTTAAGTTTGACCCCCTTTTGAATATATCCACCTTTTTCCAATAGTGGTTTTTTGAAGTTCAACTTTTGGGGGGGGGGTATGATGTCAATTTCTTGATACATGATAATTGTACATTTTTTATTGGGTGAAGTTTTCCAGGTGGTTAGTCCTTACAGCATTCATCTTTGTAAATGTTCTAACTTTGCTTCTTTGCTAGAAAATGCATTTTCAAAAGGTAGTGCTCAGAATTGCTTTTTTTTGTGGAACTGTGGGTAGAACTCAGGACCTTGCACTTGCCAGGCAGGCACTGGCGCCACTGAGCTAAATCCTTGGCCCTTTTTAAGAAAAAATAATAAACTTTATTTTGTCCCATTCCCCCCTCAAGCAGAATTACTTTTAATAAGCAGTGTTTTTTCCTAGCTCTGTGTTTTCTTGCATATTTGGTCCTAAAAGGTACTAGAGTTTTTCATTTTCTTCAAATCTGTTAGAGTTAATCTCTTGTATTTTCTTGGAAAAATGTATTATACTAAGAGGAATGTTGAAATAATATTAAGGTGGAATTCTACAGCCTCTAAAAGAGGTCTTTATGGGAGCCTGAGGCAAGAGGATCTCCATGAGTTCAAGGCCCACCTGGGCTCATAATGAGTTCAAGGCCGGCCAGCCTGAATTGCATAGTGAGACCCTGTTTCCAAAAAAAAAAAAAAAAAGTCATTAAAGTTAATTCAAACTATTTATTCTCTATTTGAAGCAAGTTGAACACTATAATAAATCAGACTGGCCCATTCAATGAAAACGTTCTTGGTTAGGCTCTTTAGAAGGTATATGAAAATTTGTTTTTCATTTTGATAAAATTAGCTACAGAAGAGACACACGTTTTTACAGTGTCTTAATTTACTGCTTGTATTCCACCCGTTGTCATACAGTGTGTAATATGATATGGCACAATTTTATGTGCTGTGTGTTTCATCAGGCATTACATACTATGCTTATAAAATGGTGAAGTTCTTCATCAGTATTTGCCACCTCTCTACGGTGGATATTTGTTTTGTTTTTAACTATTATCGTGGTTAAAGAATCTGTCTTCACCTTTTGTTAAATTTGAGGAACTGACAATAAAATTTATTGATGTCCAATTTGAGTAAAAATCGAGAATGAAACTGGGGGTGTAGCTCACTGGTTTCATTGGCAAGGCCCTGGATTAAATCCCCAGCACCAACAAAAGAAGAATGTAAACTCTTTCCCTAATTTATTATACATAAATCAGGGCCAGGGCCAGAGATGTGGCTCAGTGGTGCCGAGCCTGCCTGGCAAGCATAAGGTCCTGAGTTTGATTCCTGCTCCTGGGAAAAAATATACACAAACCAATGATTGTTTGGAAGAGGTAGTTTGTATAGTGTTTATTAAAAAAAACTTAGATATAATGAATGTTAGTGTTCCTGCTGTTTGGGTTTTGACTTTTCACTTCACATTTTGCTGTAGGTATTAATGTTTTATTTCTAAATAGTTCAACAGTGTATTAAGAAAATTTGCAGTACCACCTGGGTGTAGTGGTATATGCTTGTAATCTTAGGCCTCTTTTACCCAGCCTGGACAACTTACTAAGATTCTACCTGAAAATAGAAAAAAGGGAAGGGTGGGCTGGAGATGTAGCTCAGTGCACAGGGCTGGGTTTGATCCCCAGTACTGCAAAGGGGAAAAAAAAATTTTTTTTCAGTATCATTTCCAGGCTGGTTACACAAAAGAAGAGTTACAATTTTACAAGTTTGAGGGCTGGGGATTTAGCTCAGTGGCACTGCGACTGCCTCAGAAGCGCAAGGTCCTGAGTTCGATCCCTGGTACAAAAACAAAAATCACAAGTTTGAAGCACAAATGTGGGATGTCTGTTTATTGAACCGAGCTTCCTATATTGAAACAAGCTTGCTAATTACTTTAAAAAGTAATAGAATTTGCTTTTTAGCGCATGTTTTTAAAATTAAAAATCTTAAGTTTTATGAAAATTGAATGATTACCTCCATAGGGGTGTGTCTACATATTAAATTTAGAAAACATTTAACATATATGCCACCCCTTTTTTTGGGTAACCAATTATTTCCAGCACAATTCACATTAGAATACAGTTTGTTAAAATTGAGATATGTCCAAGAGATATTCAGTGTTACTAGCTCATTTTCATAGAGTCACTCTAAATTTAATAGTCAGTGTAACATAAATTCTTTTAAAATTAGGGAAATTTTTCAGTGTATTACTATCAGACTCTGAGGAAATTAAATGCACATTGACTTTTAAACTATGGGTTGAACTCCTCAGTTTAATACAATTTGTGTTTTTGTTAACTAGCAGCAGAATTTCAGCATTTGCTACTTACTGGTAGAGAAGAAAAATCCCACAGCACTGCCAGTACAGGTTAGTTTAATCTGTAAGTACCTGATGTTCCTATTTTTTTCAAACATATCCATATAACCCACACAAGGAAGAAAGCTGTGCAGTACTTAAATGTGAGTATAACTAATAATAGATCCATTGGACACTTTCAAACACTTAGTACTTGGGGCAAAGTACTTCTAGGTTTGCTAGCTGCAGTTGCAATAATGGTTTAATACTTTATTACCTTGTACCCAAATTATGTTGTATGTAAAAGGAAGAGTGAAAGATCCAGTTGGTTCCGCCCTTGTTGGTATACAATAAAGAGTCCAGGACTTTGAGTCCAGGGTCTTTGACTTAAGCCACTCCAGTGGTGGTTCTCATATTCACCTTTTAACTTTACAGTATGAATCAACCAGAGAATATGTAAGTTTCCTCACTTCTAGCAGTGATAAATGATGTGTAATCATAAGTTAGAAAATATTTTTATACTAGTTATTTGATCTTAAGTGTTCTTAGTTACAAGTAAATAATGATTTTTTTATTCATCTTTTTTTGTTTAAAAAAAAAGTTGTTAATGTTGCTGTGCCCCCAGGGGTTCATTGTACTTTGAACTAAAAATAATATTCAGATGAAAGCTGACTACTTGTCAAGAAACCTAGCAAGATTTCTCAAGTAATTTTTTTGGAAGGGCAACAAGGTTTTTGAAAGATGTTAACATTTTTTTATTAACATTTTTTCATTGTAACAGAGTTCATTGAACCATTCTTGAGAGATTTTCTTTAACCCTTAAATATTACACTTTATGTTGGTACAACCTAAAAATACTGAAGAGGGAGGAATAAAGTCTACAACTTTGTACAAGCCTGAAGCATCCTTCCAGATCTGTAGCACTGATGCTAAACTTGATGGGTTCCTTCTCTTTAGCTTAAGCATTATGTTTAGCTTGAGATGGTCTAGCCGTGAAAGTAGTTCATCTTGTACTCTCTTACACTGGATAGTGATTAGCCATTCTGAAAATAGAACATCTTTATCTGGGAGTCCTGTGTTAAGTCTTTAAAAACAAAACCTAGGGGCAGGGATTTACCTCAGTGGCGCCTTGCCTGCCTCGAAAGTGCAAGGTCCTGAGTTCGATCCCTGGTACCAAAAAAAAAAACCTGGGTTTGTCAATTCATAAGAGATGTTTTAAGACAAAACTGCCCAAAGGCTTAAGTTTTGTTACCTTTCACAGTTTAATCTGTATAAGAAATGGCATAGATACAGTGGAAATGGTTCTCCTTCAAATCATCTCTTTTAAAGCTGCTTTTCTGGTGAGTACTATCCTGTACTTCTATGTATCACCATTTTTACCTTTTAAAATTAACTGAAATCGGACTGAAGAGGTGAGCAATCTGAATTTCATGATGTCCTTGGATATTACTTGCATTAGGAATCTTAGAATGATTATTTTACCACCACACATTTCCCCTACTTCTGCTTTACTTTTTCCCAACCTTCACTTAATAAAATATATATACAAACTCATAAGGCTTAAGGTTTTCCTTTTAGTTGGTAGCCAAATGATTTTTCTCATTGCTTTTAATTGTTGCATAATTTAAAATACCAGAACTTCTTTGTGTCCTTATTAAAGCTGACATTGCAGTGACTCTTGACTAATTCAGTTGGGAAAGAGGAGGGTTCATCAAAATTGGTCGTGCAGACCAATTGATTATAAGGTTCTCTTTAAGTCTTAGTTTTCAAGTGTGTTATTTCATAAATTATTCAAATTCTTTGGTTAAATATATTGGTTTCTGGGACTTGTGTATACCCATAAAAATTAGCCTTTGAGTGTTTATGCCCTGTTTTATCCTTAACATGTACAACACAAGGATTTCTTTCCCTCTGGTTTTTAGCCACATTCCAGATGATGTCAATAGAGTTTAAAGCTGTTCTCACATTGTTTTCTGCTTAATCTTTGTGAATCTGTAAACTCTCATGCTTTTTCATATAAGCAGTCATAGTTTGCTAAATAAATATGAAATTAATAATCTTGAGTATGTGATACAGTAATGTTCTTTTAGATAAACACTCAAAGTATGAACCCTCAATTTGTGTCTTAAGATTTAATGGAAAGTAAGTTCTAAGGAACTGTGTCCTTTCCTAGCAGGAAAAACCAGACTGAAAAACTGGTAAGTATGTAATTTTAAGTGCATGTCATAGAGTAAGTAGTCACATTTCCATACTGTAATAGTTAACAAGAATTCTTAAATCTCCTTTGCGACTTAAAGTGTATCTCTTAACATTTTTCACAAATCTATGTGGACAGTGATTAAACTGAAGTATACTTGTCTGGTTTTCTTTTTTTAGAATTTTGTATAGTATTTTAAATACTAATTTTTTTATTTCAAGCTTTTTTCAGGGTAGAAATAAGTGGCTGTCAAAAGAAAATATCAAGAAGATTACTTAAATATCTTCGTTTAAAACCCAGTAATGACTTTCAGTTTACTTAAATCTTCTGTTTTTCAGCTCTGGTTAAAACTGACACTAGGCAGCTGATCAAAATTTAAAAACTCATTGTACTTTTTGTGGAATATTTTAGGAATTAGTGCATAATTGTAAAATGGCATTAAGCTATACTTGATTTACATAGAGGCTGTGGTTTTAAGGGAGAAAAATTTGTTTAAATTTGGAGACCTCAACCCTAATGTACTAATAATTAAGATAATAGAGATTAGGAGACCTCAACCCTAATGTACTAATAATTAAGATAATAGAGATTAAAGTGAAAAGTTTTTATTTGGTGCAGCCATGAAACATGATTATTGGTCCTTTTTAAAAATCAACCCAGTATAACATCTATTTTATGAAGTGATACAAGATCCCAGAGGGTTGTTAGAAAAGAGGGAGCCTGTCTCTTAATTTAGTCTCAAGGCTTTACTCTCAGCCTTTATTTTGTGAAGGAATGCAGTAAAGAATAAGTAACCATATTTGAACAATATGGTTGTAAGAAGTACCTTAACAGCACATGGGGAGGATAAATGGCTAGTCTGAAAGTATGATTTAAATGGTCTAGCTACCCAAAAATCTTCCCTTAAAGCATTTTTTATGTATCTGTATTAGCTCAATAAAGGTTGTAATTACTAGCTTTTAAATTTTATCAGCATTAAAGGTATAATACATGGATTATGTGAGAGTTTTAATTTTTCTTATGCAAGTAATGTTAGTACATCCCTTCACTTGGTTAAATAACTAGAAGCTTTTGGAAAACAAAACGAGAAAATCACATTTGCAGTATATATGTAAGTTTAATTTTTGTCCACCAATAGATTTTTTTTTTTTTTGGTACCAGGGATCTAACTCAAGACCTTGTGCTTGTGAGGTAGGTGCAGTGCCTCTGAGCTAAATCCCTTGCCCTGAGAGATTTTCTTTTCTTTTTTCTTTTTTTTTTTGTACCAGGGATCCAACTAAGGACCTTGTGCTTGGAAGGCAGGCGACAGCACCACTGAGCTATATCCCCAGCCCCCGAGATATTTTCTTTATGCAGTCATACACTAATTAGATTAGAACTCATGAAAGGACATTGAAATTGTTTTTCATTTTTACAGTGCCCTAGGCACTGTTTATTAGGCTTTTAAGTAAGCCAAAACTAATGAATAGTGATTTCATTATCCAGTGATTTTTAGTTTGTTAGAGAATTACAAGTTTTACTTGGGCATTATTAAAAGTCAGTTTCTTTTTTTACGAGGAAAGGGTGGACTATCTCCGTCATTCATTAACCTTTGAGTACCTGTTGTCTACAAAGATGAATAAAATAATTCATTTGTTATTTATATTACTTGTCTGAGCTCTTTTATTTACACCCAAAACAGCTTATATTGGGAATGGATTCTAATAAATGCTCTGTGCTAAGCAGTTTTTGGTGTTCTCTGGGCAACTATAAGCAGTTATTTTTATTGAATGTAGACTTATAAGGAGAAAAATGTTCAAGGGGTAAAAGCACATTTAAATGTGTGGCATGTGTGATACAGTGCTTATTAAACTTGGACAGGTAAATTGAGTCATAGTGTTTGAGTACACCTAAAATTAGACCTTAGAATCAGATCCTTGTATTTGTATCACTTGTTACATAACCTTTAGCAAAAGTTACTGTTCAAATTATAGGTTTCCTAGGTTTGTGGTAATCAGGAGTACATGTATAAAATTTAGGCTGGCCTGGCCCTTGTAAGTGTTCTCTGAATATTTTCTCCATATGTGAAAGAACTGACATAGTTCACAGTTGAAGTAACCTTAAGCCAGTGGAAATGGTGGAGGCAAATGGTTAGTTGAAAATCTAAAAATACTATTTTGTAAATGGATATGTGCTTGGTTGCACCCCTGTGCAGATATACAGGAAATGCATCAGAAGAGGACCATTGGAATTGAGGATTTTAAGAAGTTAGTCTTGGACCGGAGATTTAGCTCAGTGGTTCTGCTGCCTGCCTCTCAAATGCAGTGTCCCAAGTTCGATCCTCGGTACCAAAAAAGAAAAGAAGTTAAGTCTTTATAAAGTCTTGTTAGGCAGCAGTATATCAAACAGAATGGTAGATGTAGGAACCGTGGAATGGTAAAGGCATAGAATCTTAGAGGAAAGAAAAAGGTCTGAGTAGTGAATGAGGATGTGTATGAGAGATGGAAGCTGGGTGTGGTGGCACATCCCTGTAATCCCAGCACTTGGGAGGCTGGAGTAGGATTCCCCCAAGTCCGAAGACAGCTTGGGCTACATAGTTCAAAGCCAGTCTGAATTACATAGATTTTGTCACCAAAAAGACGGAGTATGGCAAAATCGCATAGGACCATGTTTGAATTTTATTCTAACAGGCGTCTTTAAAGGACTTGAAGATGGTGAGTAATACATGGTTTTTGATTAAAACTTCATACTAAATACATTGTAAGCTGGGCCTAGTGGCAGAACGATTTGTGAGTTGAGGCTAGCAGGGTAACTTGGAAGCTTTGTCAAAAATTTAAAGGGCCAGAAAAAAAAAAAAATTAAAGGGCCTAGGGATAAAGCTCAATGGTAGAGGGCCCTGGGCTTTATTCTTAAGTACTGCAAGAGTTGGAGGATTGAAGATGTAGTAAAACGGAGAGGGAAATTCTCATGAGTTTCAGAAGGACAAAGTGGTAAGTGCCTCCAAGGAAGTTGGAGAAAGGTAATTTTGGTGCTTCTGTGTCGGGGAAAGGTGCCACATGAAGTAGGTCTGGAAGGATTATTGGGATTTGGACAGAATGAAAAGTGCCAGAGACCAGAAAACTAACCATATGTAGAGGCATATGAAAGGAAGTTGTGGGCCGGGGATTTAGCTTGGTGGTGCCACACCTGCCTGGCAAGTGCAGGGTCCAAAGTTGGGTTTGTGGTACCAGGGAAAAATTTGTAAAGAAGAGGATGGATGTGAGCCAAAATTACCTCCCTTTATAAAATGGGGTGGGGTCATTTGAGGCCACAGTGTAAATAAAGGTCCTTTAATGTTATGTTAGCAACACATTTCTGTTAGAAGTTGGAGTACTTTTTGTGTCTAGCATGATACAGTAGTTTTTTTCCCCTGATACCAAGGATCGAACTCAGGACCTTGCACTTGTGAGGCAGGCGCAGTGCCAGTGAGGTAAATCCCCAGCCCTGGTACAGTAATATTGACAAATGTGGTTTCTGGACTCCAGTGTTGGTACCTACTCTGTATCACCACTATTTTTTTTAATTGCAATGAGAATTTTTTATCCACAACAAAAAGATTTATTTCAACAATTTACCTTGCTACTCTTGTCTTTGACTTTCACATCCATCATTTGGGGTTTGGAATAATAGCTGTGTTTCTTGTTAAGTAATGATTTTTAAATTGCTCTTTTATCCTGTCTCAATTTTTTTTCTGCTTCTGCCCGAGCCCCTCCCTGAGACCCTCTTCTGCAACTTTCCCAATTGGTTGTTTTTGTTTTGGGGGGTTTACCGGGGATCGAGCTCTGGTCCTTGAGCTTGTGCAGCAGGCGGCGAAACCACTGAACTAAATTCCTGGCCCGCTCCCAATTGGTTTAATGACAGAAGAGCTTTAGCCTCTTGTGGCCTGACAAGAGAGACAGGATGTTGCCCTTAATCTAATCAATTCCTCCATCAGCATCATTTGCATTGATTGGAAGTGTTGACTTCTGCGAATTTCTGTTTCATGTGAACTTGACAGAAGTCAATTCATTTGCTCCATCATAGATGCCCTCCAAGTTGGAGCGGATTTATCTTCCTCTTTGCTCTTGTAGGGGAGAAAAATAATTTTTTGTTTATCCTTAGTTCTTAGCTGGGACAGACCGTTGTGGATTTTTGGTCTCCAGCTCTTTTAATTGGGCTGTATCACCACTATTTTGACTGGTCCTGGTCATGTGACAGTGGGATTCAGAAACCTTAAACCTGACTGCCTGCTGTTGACTAGGTCAAATTGAAGTTAAAATCTTGTTCTTGAAGGCTAGACACGTTTTGGAAGTTCTTTATACTTTAGAGCTTTGTCTTTTTTGGTCACTTTCCAGATTGTAAGCGCCTTGATTTTTCTGCCATTTCTTCCCAGTTGTAGGACATTGCTTTCTTCCCTCAACAACCTTTGTGTTAGTTGTGGCCCATGCCTGTAATCCTAGCAGTCAGGAGGCTGAGGCAAGAGGAATGCCTCAAAACAAAAAGCTGGGAATTTAGCTCGGTGGTGCTGCCTGCCTTGCAGGCACAAGGTCTTGAGTTTGATCCCTGGTCCAAAAAGCAAACCAAACTGGCAAATTTGGTTTTGTTTTGTTTGCAGTACTGGGGATTTAATTTAGGGCCTTCTCACTTAGCTTATATCCCAGCTACTTTATTTTGAAGCAAGTTCCTTCTAAATTGCCCCACACTGGGCTGGAATTTGTGATTCTCCTGGATCACTTCCCCTCTCCTCCAGTACTGGGATTGATTAGCTGTGTGCCACCATGCCCAGCTTAACTGCTGTTAAATAGTAGCTGAACTCTGACTTCTTCTCAGAACCTTACTGAAACATTAAGGGAAAAAGTTCCTAACATTTGTCTCCAATGAATGTGCTGTTCATCTAGATTATTTGTAGCTCAGGTTTGATAGAACCCTGAACTCATTACTTAGAAGAGATCAAGCCATTGTTTATAAGTCTGCTCTCTTTGGCTTCACATCTTTCACTCTTTACTACTTCGTTGAAGTATTGGGTATGTTAATTTGGCAGGTGTTCTTAAATTTTTTGAAAATTGGGTTGTGGTACATCCCTATATAAACCCAGCAGTCAGGAGGCTAATGCAGGAATATCACAATGTCTTAGGTCTATGGGCCGGGGATTTAGCCCAATGGTTCCATCGCCTGCCTCGCAAGTGCAAGGACCCGAGTTCCATCCCCGGTACCAAAAAAATAAAATAAAATAAAGGTCTAGGTATGTAGTTTGGTGGCGGATTCTGGATTCAATCCTGAATACAATGTCCAAAAAACTTAGACCTAAATTAAAAGCTAAAGCAAGAGGTCCAGAAAAGTAGAAAATACTGGATGTTTTGAGGTAGATAAATATTTCTTGACAGGTGTGGGATGCCTGATCCCAGCACTTGGGAGGCTGAGGCAGGAGGATCTCTGAGTTCAAGGACAGCCTGGACAACAGTGAATTCCAGGTCAGCCTGAACTAAATGATGAGACCCTGTCTCGACAAAAAAGACATAAAAAGCATTTTAAACAATTGGTGAGTGGGTGATTATTACTCCTGAAGTTTAGCAATAGTTCCTTGTT